CATACCATGGTATTGCACTCCCATACCATACCATACCATGGTATTGCACTCCCATACCATACCATACCATGGTATTGCACTCCCATACCATACCATACCATGGTATAGCACTCTCATACCATACCATACCATGGTATTGCAATCCCATCCCATACCATACCATGGTATAGCACCCTCATACCATACCATGGTATCAGGAACCATAATCTATTTTTATTTAGGCAGAGGAAGGCAGAAAACCCTCATTTCGAAGTTTGTTTACATATATTTACCAATAGCTTTGACTGAAGTGAGGCTAAAATTTTGTAGTGTCCGCTTTGATGTGCGCACTATTTCCTAATTGGGCCATTTCCTAATTGGGAAAAGCGTTACACTTTTTTCTGCCACACCTAATGTCAGGCACAGTGTGCAGTTAGGTTGGGAACTGTTTCCCACGCTCTTTGGGCCACTGGAGTTAGTGGCTAGCTTAGTGTTGTCATTGTTCATGACGATGTCCGCACTATTTCCTTATTGGGCCATTTCCTAATTGGGAAAAGCGTTACACTTTTTTCAGACACAGCTGATGTCAGGCACAGTGCGCATTTAGGTTGGGAACTGTTTCCCACGCTTTTTGGGCCAGAAGAGTTAATGGCTAGCATGGTGTTGTCATTGTTAATGACGATGTGCGCACTATTTCCTAATTCAGCCATTTCCTAATTGGGAAAAGCGTTACACTTTTTTCTGCCACACCTAATGTCAGGCACAATGCACATTTAGGTTGGGAACTGTTTCCCACACTCTTTGGGCCACTGGAGTTAGTGGCTAGCTTAGTGTTGTCATTGTTTATGACGATGTTTGCATATTTCCTAATTTGGAAAGTCATTACATAATATCAGTTTGGTTTGTACTGTCCGCTTTTTCATTACTAAACTTTGTAGTTTCCGCTTTTTAGACTACAAATGCATGTAGTGTGCGCTTTTTTGACTACAAATGTTTGTAGTCTTTGTAAAATTACTAGTGTGCGCTTTTTTCATTACTAAAGTTTGTAGTTTCCGCTTTTTGGACTACAAATGTTTGTAGTGTCCGCTTTGTTGACTACAAATGTTTGTAGTCTTTGCCTTTTTCATTACAAAGGCTTGTAGTGTGCGCTTTTTTCATTACAAATGTTTGTAGTGTCCGCTTTTTTGACTACAAATGTTTGTAGTTGCAAAAAGACCGCAGACTGCAGTTTTTTGCGGTCTATAGACTGGTTTCGGTCTGCATCGGTTTTAACCGGTTTATGCCCGGTCTTTAGGCCAATATTTTAAATTTGTGAATCGGTAAATTTATTAACATCTCTATTAGCTTCAAAACGAGCCCAAGAACGTTAAATTCCGTTAGGAATTGGTGTTTCTATAAAATAAGTCTGGTACATCTATTATTCCGAAAAGTAATTTACATTTTAATGCATATCTCTCTCGTTTTTTTACCAAATCGTACCTTCTTGGGTGCGTTTTAAAGGGTATTTAAGGGGTTACAAAAGACCGGTCCAAACCGGTGAAGACCGGTTCACGTTAACCAGTTTTTTTGCGGTCTTTACATCTTAAAAATAAAAGACCGTAACCGCAGGTCCGGTCTTTTGCGGTCTTGGTCCGGTCTGGTTATGGTCTTTTTCCAGTCACAAGACCGGACTTCCAAACAATAGGGAAAGGGCAGATGGTTGCAACTGATTATGAAATAGAAAGGGAGGACAGCATAGTCCTGAAAGAGATCATGTTGAGGTTGGCTATGGTCAGACATACATGAGTCCCCAGAGATATGCAAAGAGTGTTGGAGATGATGAGAACATGACTGAAGCTGGTCAAAGGGAAAGTCAGGACAAGACAACTTGGGCATGAGTTTTGACATCTCAGTGTAGCCTCTTCTTCAATACTTTACCATCCCCCACATAATCCACATGGACTCCACTGGATTCCACTGGCTTCCACTGGCTTCCACTGGACTGGACTGGACTGGACTGCCAATCACAAAACTGGACTCCACTGGACTCCCAGCACAAAACTGGACTCCACTGGACTGCAAGCATAAATCTGGACTGGACTGGACTGGGCTGGACTGCAAATCACAAAACTGGACTCCACTGGACTCTCCCAACACAAAACTGGACTGGACTGGACTGCCACAGACCTAAGTTAATTCAGAATTCCTGAACTTAGATCTCAAAACAAAAAATAAAATTGAAGTATATTTATTAATTAAATTAATTATTTACTAGATTCTATGTTACAGAGAGGGGGAGGGAGAAGAAGGAAAAGAAAGGGGAGAGGGAAGAAGGGGAGGGAGTGGTGTCAGGAAGGGAAAGGGAGGGGGGAGGGAGCAAGGAAGGGGGAAGGGAAAGGGAGGGGGGAAGAGAGGAATGGAGGGGGAGGGAGCAAGGAAAGGGGGAGGGGGGAAAGGGGGGAGAGAGTGGGCAGAGGGAGTGGTGAAGAGAGGAGGTAGTGATGGGGGGAGAGAGTGGAGGGGAGGGGTGGTGCTGCTGGGCCCTCGTCGCCGTTCCACGTTGGCGTTGGTGGTGGTGGGCGCTGTCGCGTATCATCGTCGTTGTCGCATGTCGTCGTGCTCGCATGTCGTTGTTCTCGCACGTCATCGTTGTTGTCACGTGCCGCTGCTGGGCGCTCGTCGCCGTTCTGCGTTGGTGTTGGCGGTGGTGGGCGCTCGTTCGTCGTTGTCGCGTATCGTCATGCTGGCATGTCGTCGTCGTCGCGTGTCGTCGTCGTGTGTCCTCGTTGTCGCGTGTCGTCGTGCTCGCGTGTCATCGTCGTCGTCGTTCTCGCACGTCGTTGTCGCGTGCCGCTGCCACCTGTCGTGGTGAGAACTGGGCATTGGGGTGGTGGGCATACGTACCCTTGGGGTGGTGGGCATACGTACCCTTGGCCCATGACGTTGCCACGTCATGGGCGTTGTCCCTCGTTCTTGGCCCGTCATTCCGCGTTGGCGTGGGCGTTGTTGGCGTGGGCGTGGGCGTTGTTGGCGTGGGCATGGGCGTTGTTGGCATGGGTGTCGTTGGTGTGAGCGGCATTGGCGTTGGCGGTGTTAGAGGACAGTGGTGGTGGTGGAAGGGAAAGGGATGGTCACAGATGTGTGACCATGCCGCAAACAGGATACGTGACGATATGGCACGCCCTCAAGTAGTCACGTGATCTCACCCCGCAGACTGAACAAAATCATGAATCCTTATTGCAGCTATCACTACCTATACTAATATCTATAACATTACCTTTCTATTTATTGATCAATAGAATTATAAGTCTGTATAGTGTATTTCGCTTTTTTTGTAGTATTAATAATAATAAGTAATAAGCAATAATGCACTGGAATCACTGGAATCCACTGGACTCCAGTGGATTCTGACTGGACTCATAGTCCACTGGACTGGGACTGGACTCAGAAAAGTGGCTTGTAGTCCAGTGAGAGTCCAGTGGACTGGACTGGACTGGACTGGACTTGAGTCCAGTGGACTGGGGATTGTGCAAGCCAATTTGGCCTGACAAATGGGCCACTGGAATCCACATGGATTACGTGGGGGATGGTAAAGACCTCCCTCTTCTTACTTTCCATTTCATCATCATGTAATTCCCTGTATGGTACAGAGCTGTTTTGGCTAGACTCAGTTGCTCTGAAACATTGAGCTATGTCCTCATGTACCTAGATAGATACAGGGAGAATATCTTTGTAGGCTAAAAAAGCAGACACTAGTAACATTTGTAGTCCAAAAAGTGGACACTACAAACTTTGTAATGAAAAAAAGCACACAGTACAAGCCCTTGTAATGTAAAATGCAAAGACTACAGACATTTGTAGTCAAAAAAGCAGACACTACAAACATTTGTAATGAAAAAAGCGCACACTACAAGCCTTTGTAATGAAAAAGGCAGAGACTACAAACATTTGAATTGTAGTCAAAAAAGCGGACACTACAAACATTTGTAATGAAAAAAGCGCACACTACAAACATTTGTAATAAACAAGGCAGAGACTACAAACATTTGTAGTCAAAAAAGCAGACACTACAAATATTTGTAATCAAAAAAGCGCACACTACAAACATTTGTTAATGAAAAAGGCAAAGACTACAAACATTTGTAATGAAAAAAGCAAAGACTACAAACATTTGCAGTCAAAAAAGCGGACACTACAAACATTTGTAATGAAAAAAGCGCACACTACAAGCCTTTGTAATGAAAAAGGCAAAGACTACAAACATTTGTAGTCAACAAAGCGGACACTACAAACATTTGTAGTCCAAAAAGCGGAAACTACAAACTTTAGTAATGAAAAAAGCGCACACTAGTAATTTTACAAAGACTACAAACATTTGTAGTCAAAAAAGCGCACACTACATGCATTTGTAGTCTAAAAAGCGGAAACTACAAAGTTTAGTAATGAAAAAGCGGACAGTACAAACCAAACTGATATTATGTAATGACTTTCCCAAATAGGAAATATGCAAACATCGTCATAACATGACACACTAAGCTAGCCACTAACTCCAGTGGCCCAAAGAGTGTGGGAAACAGTTCCCAACCTAAATGTGCATTGTGCCTGACATTAGGTGTGGCAGAAAAAAGTGTAACGCTTTTCCCAATTAGGAAATGGCTGAATTAGGAAATAGTGCGCACATCGTCATTAACAATGACAACACCATGCTAGCCATTAACTCTTCTGGCCCAAAAAGCGTGGGAAACAGTTCCCAACCTAAATGCGCACTGTGCCTGACATCAGCTGTGTCTGAAAAAAGTGTAACGCTTTTCCCAATTAGGAAATGGCCCAATAAGGAAATAGTGCGGACATCGTCATGAACAATGACAACACTAAGCTAGCCACTAACTCCAGTGGCCCAAAGAGCGTGGGAAACAGTTCCCAACCTAACTGCACACTGTGCCTGACATTAGGTGTGGCAGAAAAAAGTGTAACGCTTTTCCCAATTAGGAAATGGCCCAATTAGGAAATAGTGCGCACATCAAAGCGGACACTACAAAATTTTAGCCTCACTTCAGTCAAAGCTATTGGTAAATATATGTAAACAAACTTCGAAATGAGGGTTTTCTGCCTTCCTCTGCCTAAATAAAAATAGATTATGGTTCCTGATACCATGGTATGGTATGAGGGTGCTATACCATGGTATGGTATGGGATGGGATTGCAATACCATGGTATGGTATGGTATGAGAGTGCTATACCATGGTATGGTATGGTATGGGAGTGCAATACCATGGTATGGTATGGTATGGGAGTGCAATACCATGGTATGGTATGGTATGGGAGTGCAATACCATGGTATGGTATAGGATGGAATTGCAATACCATGGTATGGTATGTTATGGGAGTGCAATACCATGGTATGATATGGTATGAGAGTGCAACAAGGGATTACAATACCATGGTATAATATTTTGATAATGGAGACTCTGACAAGACTTTGGATTGGACAGATTCACTTAGCTTCAATAAATTGGACCAAATATTATGACAAAGAAGACTTTGGCCAAACACTCAGGACAACAATACTTGATTCCAACATATGTAGTGTTTAAGAAAATTGAGATTATATGATGGTGTTGTTGGCCATACTATATGTGTATGCTATGTAAGTAGGCAGAACTGTCTGATTGGCCCTACTGGGCAAAATATATTTAACCTATTATTGAAAGCATTCATATTAATGGCTTTTCAGGAATGAAAAAACCCTCAATTGAACTGATTTTTAAAGGTTGGAGTTGATTATCTGGCCTCCACTTGGAATTGGAAATCTTAGCAAAAACCTGAAAGCATTTCCACTTTTCTTTTCTTCTCTATGACCACTTCATCACAATAGATGTGGTTTTGTTTGATTTGGATGAATATTGTTCTAATAGAAAGGATTGGGAAAGATATGTATCATTAAATGGCTTTGGATGCATGGGAAAGCTGGGATAAAGCCTATTTCAACTCATTTTCAATAGATGGTTTGGACTATCTGGCCTCAATTTGTAGCCTAATATCTCAGGAAAAACCTGGAGAACCACCCCACAAAAAATGGCACCCAATGGACCAGTATTGCAGCCTGCAGAAATAATTTATATATTTTGGAAAAGGACCCCAGACACCCTATGACAGCTTTGGTATGATGGTATGAAGTGACATCATACCATCTGGTATGGTATAACAGGACATGGTATGGTATGGTGACATGGTATTGGTATGGTATGGTAACATGGTATTGGTATGAGTGGGGTATGGTATGGGTTTTCCATTCCATGGTACCATGGTATTGGTATGGAGCTCATATACCACCCCGGAATGGGTACCCCCAAGGTACCCTAAATCAAGGAATTGATGT